TAAGCATTGCCTTCATTTTGTAGTTTTCTTCTGAGGCAGCCAAGCTTGGAATCATTGAGAACAGCACTAAAGACCTTGAGATGAAATTCTTATCAGAGCCAAGTTTTGAGTCTCTGGAGAATGTTAGAAAGGCTTGTGTTGATGACGATGCTTGGAAGCAAAAACGTGACATACTGCTACAGTTTCTTGACAAAAATGCAAGGTTGATACATCTGTATAATTTCTTTTTTTGCATTGTGTTGCCAGCTTACATTTATTTGTCAATGATATGCGCTGCTTGATGTCAATTTGATTAAAACTAAATTTCATTGTTTATTGTTGTTGCAGTAAATTTCAAGAAGTCACCATTGAGRTTTACTCACAACTAGAAATGTTTGACAAATTAAAATCCTTTTTGTCAAAGCGACAAGACACTAATTGTGAGAAGACTGAGAAGACAATTACCATGGTAATCAGGGATGTTTCTCTTTTTTATATTGATTTTGTCCAACTTTTTTTACTGTAATTTATTATATTTTTGATACAAATTCATAATGTTAAATGACTTGTTAGTTTCTGATGGACCTTACATGATCATGTTAGTCTTCTTCACAGTTACCTGTGCTATCTTTTGAGAGGTAACCACATCTTTGTCTTGAGGTAAGGTAACTGATGAGCATCCAATGCTGGAAACCTTCTTTCAAACGTACAGACCATGCTCACTGTTTGTCTTACATCAATACAAAGGAACAGTTACATTTCAAAATGGCGCAAGAAACTGTGAAGCAAACTATTTTCTTTAAAGAATCATAACCACCCGCCGTACCTTGCGAGCCGAAGCGCCATTTTAGGTGGAGACGAAAATGGCGGATTTGTAGGATTTCTTAAAGTGAGCCCAAATCGTCTTCCGTCCTTTCAGTTTGGACAGAAATACCTTTAACTAAGTACCTCACAGGTACTATCAATCTATAATTTATTGTATGCTTGACGCATTTAAACGTATGTAAACAATAATACGAGCGGCAAGGTATGACGGGTGGTTATGATTCTTTAATTCTAGTAAAACGTGTTTTGTGTTGATTGTATTTTAGATTCAAGTCCTTCTTCAACCAGGTTCTTCTATCAACTCTGTTGCCAAGAGAACKGCCTTTGTAGAAGCAACTCATGAGTACATTGCTTCTTGTCTTGTCTTTGGATCATTTGATCCCTGGTCTTTCAGGAAAAGATCATCACCGGTAATGGAGATCATCTTGTAGGAGACTGATKATGTTTATTAAACATTGCTTCATRTTTTTAATCACCAGATYAGTGGAACTTTGACACAYACAGTCAAGATGCTGCACTCTGTTAGTCCCAATTCTTTTAAGAACGTAATTAATAAAGCCTTTACCCTCATCAAGGAYGTAAGTTAATGTATGAATGCATGAGATATGTGAAGTATGAATAAAGCATGCTAGAAAGGATGTCTCATGCATTGTCACTGAGGGTGACGATACAATACTTTCCTCCTGTCAGCATGCAAAGCTGTAAAAAAGGGCAAAAAATGTTCATCAAAATTAACATGATTGTTTTATTGTTAGTTATTCCTGAATAATACTGTGCACCAAATGAAAAAGGATGAGTTGGTTCAATGGTTGGTGAAGATTAAGGTRAATTCTTCCTGATTTTAGGTCACTAATAATACTTCTTGACTTGGTAGATATTAATAACTTTCTTGCAATAGTACCTAACTAGGAATCGTATTACTTCTTGATTTAAAGTATTGATTCATAACTATTGTACCTTGAAGGAAATCAGCAATACACTAAAGGAAAGAAAGGAATGGTGCCACAGTTTTAATGCACTACTCAGAGACTTAAGACGAAAGCCTCAAATAGTCRTGTGAGTACTGTAAATATTATTGTAATAACAATCATAAATAACTTAATATCGCCTTCATTGATAATTCATAAAGAAAACATTATCGTTAGCACTATGATCTGACCGTTACATAGTGTTCATGTACTTTAAGCTCAGTTTCTTTGGMTTTATTTCCTCTCRATTCTCGCACATTGTAAATCTAATCTTTGTTTGTTTTTAGATACTTGAAAGCAAAGATTCCAATCTGGAAGCTTCATAATGCTTCATAATCTGAACGAYTCGAATCTTGAACRTTCATGCAATAGAACACCATAGTGGTTTCTAATCATATCAGAACAAGAATAATCATGTTTCCTGGACAGCTACCACTTTCTTTACTGGTMGTTGTATRTGTTAATATTTCTACTATCTATTATGGCTGCCATATGGTTATTTGCTATATTATTTTGCAAAATATTGCAGATTATTATGTAAAAAAAGGTTGTTTCAGTTCAAAAATTCATTGAAAATAATATCATTTTATGAAAAATATACTCAAAGGTGATTTTACTTTGCCTAGAAAAATAACAGCAATAAACCCAGACTTTTTCCAGGAAAGAGTTAAGGGTACTTATGGTTATATAAGGAAGGGGGAGGTATATTCCTTCTCCACCTTTCCAAAGATAAATCCTTGGAAAAAAAGAAATAGGAATATGTCAAGAAAAACAGTTTATATTTTAGTGTTCTATACAAAGTAGAATGTTAAGAGCAGAATTTATATTTGAAATATATATATTTTATATAGAGATCAGAGGCAAAGTAAAATCTCTAGTTGGTGATACATATTCGAGTCCAATCCAAATTAGGGTCATAATRTTGTTATGTTATGTTGTTCAAATTTTAAATGAGACAATTATTATAATGCAAATCAGGCGATATTTAAAATTGGAAAATAAATATAAGTTCAGTTTAACTTAGTTTAGATTGAAATATGGAATAAATGAGARCAAAGTTTTAAGAAATAGTATTTTATTCTTTCAATGTGTCAATAGGGTTGTTTCTTAGACAATATTTTCTTATGTTCATGGCTTACTGACMATCATAACCCAGGAAACATTCCACTTTCTATTAACAAAAGTCCAATAAACAAACAAACCTAAACCAATTGTTCTTCAATGTACAACATTTCAGACAAACATTAACTTTAACATTTTCAATATATTCTTCATAATGCCAGTCTGCAAAAACAATAAGAAACATTCTATACTGTAGTATATAGACAAACATTTCTTTTCCAGGGACATGACCAAAACAGCATCCAGGAACAATACACGTATCTTCTCCAATGTTACTCCACTAGAAATACATCTTGTCTTAACTTGAAGTCTTCACTTGCCAGAAAATCAGCCAGGAACAAAGACAATCTCACAGTCAGATGYGTCTGGACTGCCAGTACTAGATTGACTGCCTGGACTAGGTGGAATGGTTATCTTGACCTGACTTTCACAGGCAAAGCCGTGTTTGATCATTTCTTCATTGATATTAATTTCAGGCTCAGTTTGAGTGTCAAACAATTCCAACCACATGGTATTATTCCAGGAACTGAGAACAAYGATACGAACACATCACTAATGGTAATGTACACATGATTCTTTTACTCATTTTCACTGGTCAATGGTAATGACAAATAAAGTAAAAAGTGACATTGTATCTGCAATAATAGTTATTATGATGATGTTATTGTGATGGTTACGGCATGTGATTGTGATAGGTTCAATGTGAATATTCTACACTCTTGAGATCTTTTGATATACTTACATGGATAAAACATGGGCTATTAACAGCTTGTCTTGCGTTAGTGACTCAAAAACATTTCTAAAACAGATAGACATAAAAATTCACTTTAAAATCTTATAGTAAGCCATCAAGCTCTGCATTAGTGTATTGATAACTTTGCCTTATATTAGTTCCTGATACATAACATGGAATCATGGGTTCCCTGTGCTACCTACATGGATTCCTGGGTCCATTCTYCATTCTCAACTGGCTCAATGTTACCAAGGAAACACTCCACAGCTTGAAAYGGCATGTGCAGAAACTGAGGTAGCATACGTTTTACATTGGCAGCCTCTGTCCACTCGCTATTGCCGTAGTCAACAAATGACACTTTAATAGYTTCTTCTTTAACATCTAACACGCATGCGCGGTACCATTGTTCRTTCTGTGTATACTTGGCTGCAACCAGCTCACCAGGGGCAGGGAGGATTGTGTTCGACTCACGGAAGATATTGCGAGTATAAAATTTRCTRTAAAAGATGAAAAACGGATTAAGAGCACAATTATGGACGGTAAATCACGTGTAGTCCGCATAAATAAATGTGTTTCTTACTTCATTCTTTCTGACATGGYATCAAARTCCTCCTCTTCGTGATCTTCATTTGTGATTAAACCCAATCTTTCTACAAATCAAAAATTTATTACTTGAACGATTGACAGCTTCCACAGGAGTTTCATCACATGATAAGTATCTTCTTTGCGTTACTAACGAACACTTGCGTTGATTTACGTAAAGATATTACTGCTACACGCGTAAGTGTTACACCTTATTAAGTTTTACAATCTACGGAATGCAGTATAGTTTCAAAGTTATCGTAATCGCCTTTAACGTTGTATTGTACGTAACGACATGCGCGCATGAGTACGGTAATTGCTTGTTACGTTAGTGCGTACGCGGCTCTCGTACCTTCAATGATTTTCTTCTCGATRGGACCAGAGCCACAAGGAAACTGTACCCAGAAATGACCCGGATTAACAACAGCAGTAACACGCACACCGATCCAAGAGTTGACCCTGGGAAGATCCACCGTGAAATCATTGTTATTACAGAATGCTTGAACTCGTACAGTAGCATCTTCACCTGAAACAAATCGTATGAGTATTGGTTGATGTATAATKATTACATGTTGTAGTCGAAGTACCTTCTTTGACGTGCAACATTGGACAGTTTTCTCCTCTCCAACATCGTGACTTTGCAGATCGATAAAATTTACAATATTGAGTTTCAATTGGCTCTGCGAAGGAGAAGAAATTCAKAATTTTCAACATACAAAGTCTGTACTACTAACGAAGGAATTCACAATGTGAAATGAACGAGAATAAACTTSGTCATATGTATCAAACTTACTGAATCCATGGATTGCAATGTCAGGATCATTTGTATCGATTCCATAAGCGTTTCTCGAAGACTTGTAATCATCCATCATTGGATTGAAGAACTTCATCATGTCATCATCTTCAGGGTCAGAATCACTATTGACCAATGGCGAGGAATTCTTACCTTYATCAAACACAAATTGGAAAACGAAATGATTACAAACGAAAACGTGAGAACAATATGGCAAGAGGCAATCAATTTAACAGGGTGGCAAGTGGCAATATATTTATCAAAGGTGCGATTTTTTAGCCACCTTTAACACTGCAAAACTATATTCCTACTGTTTTGTTTATGATAGCAAGATTTGATGGCAGCCGTGTTAAACTTACCTTCTTTATCCAGTTGGTCGGCTGTGTTCTCCAAGTCGTTCACAGAGAGGTGTAGCACTCTGGCAATATTCTCACGGTCTATCTTACCTCCTGAAATTGAAAAAAAAAAGACATTGTACTTGTAACAACAACCTGTTAATACAACCAAGAAGATCGTTTTAATTTACCTTGACTGTTCTCGTCCACAAGCTCTGCAAGTCCCGTTTCCACCATGATTTGTGTGATATCAACATCTTCATCGCCTGTTGTGTCGTACAGTTGAAGAACCAGTGTTGGACGCTGGTAAGTTATATCCACAAACGAATAGCTTGCTGCTGGGTAGTAAACCTGATCGGTGTAATAAGTAAGAAAATGAAAAAAAGCACAAATGAATGGGAAAATGGGGTCTTGTACGAATAATGCACCTGTTGATAAGTTGTTGAGTCCCWTGGTACCATGATGCCTCTTAAAGGCTTATCATCTCCTGTCAAACCTTTAAACAACTCTATCGCTTCCTCAGTCCACTCTGGCTTCCTGGTAATGGTACTAGTGATATCTGGTGACTGGCTTTTGTCAGGACTGGCTACTAGGTACATTTCCTGGATATGGTAAAAGGGTCATCAATGACTTATTTATCGTTACCAGAAATTACCTGGTATTTCTACTTACTGGTAAAGCAGGTTCGTCTCCTTCTTTTGATGTCATGTCTTTCTCTTCATCCTTAGCTGAGTCAAAGATTAACCCGCCATCGCTGAGCTCGCTGTCTCCAGATTCGTCACCAGCTGCTCGTAGTACAACATTCCTGTCATGGAGCGGTAGTTTCTGGTTCTTCTTGCYTCTTTTTCCTTTAGTGAACTTTCTCAATGGTTGTTTAGTWTTTGAGTCGTTTGTAGCTGGCTTTGCACAASAGGAACTTTCATCTTSTTTGACAWTACYAGGATTTTTGCTTTGATTTTGTTCACTATCTAAGTCTTTTTGTTCATCGGGAACTTCATTGGTAGAGGCTGGAGCTTCAGTATCTGTAATAACATTGCATGCATTACATATAAGAATATTTATTTGCAATTTTGCAGTTATGCATTGAAATTAAGTTCAACAGGTTATTAGTCGTTTTACCTKGAATGGCTACTGGCTGTACACCAGCTAATCGGCTTTTAACAGCAAATCCAGGAAGCATCATAAACTTGGCAAGTAAAGGTCTCGTATCACCCATAGCAACCCACTCACAGTTTCCATAGTCGACATAGAACACGTAGATATTTGCAACAAGCTCACTGTCCCCATCCCCCGACGGGGATACTTGTACTTCAAGGACTTTAGCCCGACACCACATGTTGTCTTTGGAGAATTTCGCGCAGCAGAAATCACCAACACTGAGACGGTAGTCTTCTGGCATGGACTTGATATCTGAATCTAATGAAAGTGTGAATAAATGGAATGGGATGAATGGATGGAAAAAACATTGTATCAATTCATTACCTTTGTAGTAAGATTCCAAGTCTTCTGTTAGTTCACCAAGAAGAACAGCTTCAGGWGTAATAAGATGAACATAAAACTCACTGGGATTRACGACCTCTGACATCATTACTTGAAGRAACAACGACTCATCTTGACGCTGGATGGAATCGGMGAGATCCTTAATGGAGTCAGTATGGCTACTGCCTTCTGGGGGATATCTGGGTGACKCTCTGTCTACGTCTTGCGTTTCACTTTCGTGGCTCTCTTGATACCTGACTTCAGTCGTTTTTTTCTCATCGATACGTTGTTCCAAAGGCTCATCTTTTACAATRTTTTCTGAAGGCTGATCAGTCGGTTTTGYGTCAATATCTTTGGCTAGCTTTGCGTCAGTGCTGATTGAAGATCTTCCTTTGTCTTTGGTGACGTMTTTTACTTGTGATCCCTTTGCTGTACCTTCTTTGCCTTTGGTGAAATGTCGTTGTTGTGGTGCGTTTGTCTCAGCATTACGAYTCGAACGTTTATCTGACGTTTTCTTTGTTGCTCCTTTGCTTTTAGAGTCATGTTTGTCTTGCACTACCTTSGTATCTTTCGTTCCTTTAGTGACACCTTTGTTAGCTTCCGTACTCGGCTCYTGTRTGAYATTTTGGTCAKATGCAGGTTTATCCTCTTCTTGCAGGCTTGCTACACTCAAACTGCTTCTGCGCGACGATTTCCCTTCACTGGTGACAGACTGGGGACTGCTTGCTTTGCTATTGGCTGGCGACTCGGTCACGTGCCCCACATGCTGAGCAAACCCTTCTAATACCATGATATGTGCWATGCTGTACTGTAGTCCTGGCAATGTACTATGTTTTCCTGGTATATTACTTCCTGGACCTTGTTTYTTCTTGTTTGTTAAGTACAGGTCTACCATAATTAGTGCTTCATCGTCGGTACGTTTGGGATATGCCAGCARTTTTACGCCAGATACTTTGTTTCGTAACCACTCGATTGATTCCTCTTTCCACARAGAATCACCTGAAAACATTCAGTCAAGGTATTCTTTATACTGTACTACAKGTATGTGTATAACCTTCTTACATGGCATATTTAAACGATGCGCGAAACTAGGAAAGGGCAAATTAGAAGAAACAATACTAGTGAGAATAGAAAGTGGAAGGTGCAAACGAATGGATATGAAAGTAGATGCAAGAAAGGAGGCTTGGAAAGAAAATGGAAGAGACGAAAAAAGAGGAAATACCAAAAAGGTAAGTTGCCAAGGAGAAGAGAGAGGAAAATATGGGAAAGACTGACGCCAGTCAAAAATAAGATGTGACAGCTAAGTAAATTAAAGACAGCGACATACCTTGTGACTTCACAGGGTTTTTCACCAGTGGTTGAACGCCATTTAGTGCACAGCAAAGAGCTTGACAAGGAATATCAGCCAAGGCACTGTCAAGACGTCTTAGTCTACTTAACGGCAACCTATCACGACTACCATCGTCTATACACAACACATCGATTTCTAGACCTGGATAATGGTTGTCAATACTACTAGTACTACTAGTGCTTCCTGTACTACTTTTCCTTGCACGTCCATTACCTGGAAAAAAAGCAAATTAAATACTTTATACCAAGTACGGAATAATGACCTTGGTCCAAATTTCAAATCCAACTGTTCTCAACACTCAATAGAGGTGAAATGTGAGTGTTAAGAGGGTCATAACAATATTAACCGAGTTCTATGTACTTAATGACTTAGTGTGAGGGCCATACGAGAAACAATTTGGCTAAAGGTTATGCCGTACGGAACGAGCGCACCGAGGTCCGTACAAATGACCGAGAGCCAAATATTTTCCCGTGCGGCCCGACCTAACTCAGTCAATAAGCATTTTATCACGACAGCGTTTTGCTTACAAAAAAGATTGTTTCAATACAATGTATCGACTAACTTCAGGCCGGGAAGATACCGGTTTGTACGGCCCTGTCGCGAAAAGGTGTACGATCCCCATCACGTGACCATTTCACAAAGTTTTTTAACAACGCGCGTAGGGCCGAAATACGGGTCATATGATAAAGTCTAGTATTCCCCTCTCGACATATTAAATACAGATGGGTTTCCTGTGTTATACCTACCCTGGTTAGGTTTGTCACATGACTGATGACTACCAATAACAATCACTCTATACCACGTGTCATCATCCATAAAACGAGCACAGCAATATTCTCCTACTGAGGGGGGTACTGTTAGTCCTCCTTTATTACCAGAAGCGGCAGCTTTTGCAAAATGYAAGCTGTGAAATGAAGAAAAGGTTTGAACTCAATAAAAACACTAGTTTTTACTGAAAATAAAACCAAATATTTGCTATGAATCTTACCACATTTTTTCCATGAGTAAGTTGAAGCCATTATCAGCTGGTTGAATCCACAATTCCCATGGACTGAGAACCTCTGTAACAACTACTTCAAGACATTTGCCACTCTTGAATGGGTATGGTTTTAGTTGCACAACTGGAAGTGAGACATAAGATATGAAGGGTTAAAAACTATTACAAATAATTCTCGCCATGATAAGCGCTATAAAATCCGAGACAAAGGAAAACTGTGTTTTGTCTCTTAGCTTTTATTCTTCATTTTTTGTTGTTTTTTTTTTTTTTTCGCGTTCTCCCAACACACTGGTACAGTATGATAGACCACGCATCGATCGTTACAAGAAAACAAAGGCCGACATTTCTAATATATTTGGAGCGTGTAGGAAAATCGAAATAATGCCGTATACCGAGGATATCGAGTACTTTGATGTAGTATGGGTGATGCGCAAAATCAGCATGTTATCAGCACATGTTCAGAGTACCATATGATCCTTAATATAATAGTATAATTGTATCATAGTATATTTGTATAGGTAATACCATGCTGTGTAGTAAACCACGCGTTATATTTCAAAATTGTCAAACAAAATTTGTATAGGTAATAGCATGTTTTGTAGTGGTATTTGGGATAAATACCAAGCGTGATATTTCAAATGTCTGTTGAACGATCTCTTTTGACACACTAAAACCAAGACTTTCATTAAAGTTTACAAACTCTTTGATGATCAAATTAAATAAAATTTCTAGACGATTATGTCATTGTGAAAGAGACTCGGGGGACGAGGTTGTCATCCTTCGTTTTGTCGAATCTTTGGCTATAGACAGACTTTTGTGATATTGTTATATAGCATTATACGCTGAAAATATAATGGGGAATCGAGCCAGTTCTGTTTTGAGTGAAGACGAAAGAAACAGATTAGACCTCACCCTCGCGAGGCTGGAAAAAAATGTTCGACTAACATACAAATCTCATTTTACATCAAGCGGATATCACGGTAAATTGGCTAAAGGTCTTGAAATCTTCGTTACTGCCCTAATTCCAACTTCTACAGCTGGATTGATGTTGACTGCACGATCAGCTAAGCAAGCTAGCATTGCTGTGGCTGGTGTCAGTCTTTTGGGCATCGTTTTCAGTGGTTTACAAAAGTACGAGTCCAATCACGGAAAATACCATCCAGCCATAAAGCAAGAATTACACTTTAAATCTGGTATCGCGCTCTCTTCTTTTCACAGCGAGCTGATTGCATTCCGCCAACTACGACTAAGAGATCCTACGTTGACAAGAGAGAAGTTTATGGAAGAATATGCGGAAATCATCGAAAAGAAACGCAAATGTGATGCCATCATACAAACTGAGTATTGGGCTTACATCAAAGCCCGAACAGACGATAGCAGACTTTGTCAATTGTGGAGTAAAATTGAGGTCGATGAATCAACCAAAACAAACGAAAACAAAACATGAGAAGAGATTTAACCTACTCAAGACTTGCCATTTTAGTTGCTTTCCTTTTGATCATAATTAACTTCAAATACTCCAGTTTCGAATTGATAGCGAAAAACCGCTGCTTTATTTATCTACAGATTCTCTTGCGCAAAGACCTGACCAAACATAAAAGGGAGCATGAGGAAAATTTTGTTTTTACAATAGCCTTGAAAATTTGCATTTTCCCCGAGTTGAGACTAACCCTGTATTCCYATRAGACCTAAGGTATGAGCCTTCTGGGAATACAGGGTTAGCCTCAACTCGGGGAAAATGTAAATTGTCAGCGCTATTGTACGTACAACATTTTTTCGTGCTTTTTTTGTGTTTGGTAAGTTCTTTGCGTAAGAGAATCTGCTGTCAAATAAAACAGCGGTTGTTCGCTTAGAATTCGAAAATGGAGTATTTTGAGCTAGTGCGACAGCTATTTCAATTTTAGCCTAAAATATGTTTGCAAAGTTTTTTGAACATAGACCTCCTTATCATTCTTTGATTTCCATCAATGCTTTAAAACGTGCGTCGATATGAATGGAAATAAGGTGTATGGGACAAACATTGCCCAATGCAAGGAGATCTACAGATTTAAATAATATTTAATAATTTCATTGAAAATAGTGATATACCATATTTGGAGAAATTTGGTCTGAACTTTTGGGCACATTGAAAAATAGCAACACACCTTGATACACGGTATGAAAACAAACATTAACACATTTAGTCATTTAGTGATAGAGTCTGCCCTACTACAAATTATTATTCAACAACAAATTTTCCTCCACTCCCATTGGTTTAAAGTCAACAATATGATGCAATAGTGCCTGCAACAGATGGGTAGTATCAGTGCATAGAACATGATGAACACTTATTAGGCCTCAACAACGCCATAATGCATATCGCCTATTGACAACTTCAGAAAATTTTGCTGTTGGATAATGAAAACAAAAGAGCATTTTAAATCTCAGGTATTATGCTGTAATAGTTGCCCTTGGAAATTGGATGTTCCTCAAAACTTCATAGTCACCCTTGAACTGTGTTCTTGGGTGACTAGATTTGTTTTCTGCAACACCCAGTTTACATAGGCAACCATCACAGCATATAATGCCCTCAAATTAACAACTCTTTTGTTTAAATAGACATGAATATACTATATTATAACAATTTGCTTAACATACTTTTTGGAACAGATGTTTTTTCTTCTTTAACATGAAGTGGTGGAGATCTCCGTCCTTTTTTGTCTTGATTCCTGTCTTTTTTTATACCTTTCTGAATAAATGCCTTGGGCATCTTGAGCTGGGATGAATCACTGTTTGTGATATGACCTTTCTCTGGTGGCAGTTTGTTGTTTGTTGCTTGTCCTCCTTCTGCATTTTTCCCTATGAATGGTAATGATATTTCAACAATACTTTCCTCAGAACTGATTGGTAGCTTTGATAAATTGTCATTCTTAATACAATATTTCTCTACTGCTGGTTTGTCATCTGTTTCTTGTCTGCTTTCTTCTGTGTTTTTATCATTCATATGGTCTTTCTCTAGTTTGTTTTCTGTTACTTGTCCACTCTCTATTGAGATTTTCTCTGTTAATTGTGATGGGCACTTGTTCTGAGCACTAATTAATCTCTCCCACAGCTCTCCCATGAAGATACGAGCATTCTTGGCTTGAAGGAATCCAGTCAAAGTGATCTGCATCAGTTGRGGATCAGGTTTCTTTGATTCAAGCATTTTTTCAATGAACTCCAAGACWACATCATCTTTAACACCTAATAACAGTTCTGTGATACGTTTAGTTACCCATGGCTTTATAGTGTCCATAGAATTGACTTTCTCCATATCAACCTCCTGTGATAATATRTCTTCAAATCCAATTGATGTAAATTGTTTTTGTTTTTCTTGAAAGGGCTTCCCCTGTTCTGTACTKGTTTTATTTACTTTTTGTTGACTTTTGTTGTCACCATGGTAACTGCTGTTGTTTGTGTCTACTTGATGATCTCCATGGTTACTTGTGYCAGTATCTACAAGGTGTGTAGTGTTAGATGCCTGTTTCTTTGTATTTGTTTCTGACTTTCCTTCTGCCTGAGTTCTAGTGGTTTTTGCAGAACCTGTATCTGAGGTAAATTTAGCTGCTATCCTTCTCTTAGACTGGTCAGTTTCTGTTAAAATTGACAAATATAACTAAATTAAGCAATTCATTTTACTTGCTTTCTTGAATTTGACACAGTCATATAGCACTTGAATCTAGTACTAGACTATAAGAAAAGGTAAGGCTAGCTAAATGTGGTACCTTTTTGTTCATCTTTGGCATCAGAATCAGCTGCATCATCAGATCCTACATGTATGTATTGAAAAAAAGATTCAGGGAGTGCAGTTCATTTCATATATTGAGATRAGAGTGCATGAAAACAGCACTTGTTATGATCAATCACACGTTCATAGCAGGTGCAGCTCCAAGGGATGTGCTTTCAGTGCGGACGTATTACTACTTTTTGGATGATGTTATATTTTATATATCAGTATAAATKTTTTTTCWGCTGTTTATACTCTTGTTGTACTTTTATCGAGAAGAAGTGTAGCATACACAACACATATCTGCCACTATGCTATTTAACAATCTATTTGAGTAGTGTAGTCAAAGATACATGGCAATAAAAGTCAATTTCCTTCTGGTCAAATTGAACATAATTTTCTTGCTCTAGACAATATGCAGCTAACAAAAATGATCAGTTCCATCTGCTATACTTAGTTTTTCTGCTATATTATATGTCATATATTACTGACACAAGCACCCCCTCCACCTTATAAAAAGCTGGATCTGTCCCTGCATAGATACATTAAATTATCATTTACCTGTATCACTATCGTCCTCATCAAATGTATCAACAGTGTCAGTCAATGCTAACAAGAAATCCAAGCATTTTTCAAGGTCTTGACTAACTTTAGGGTATTTGTGAAAAAACTTCTTCTTATCTTGAAGATTCAAAAGTTCAAWAGCAGGGTGTGTGGCCTTTTAAAATAATAAAATATTAATATGTTAATAACCATTCTCTACCAGGCTGTGGATTACAGTATTTAAAAAGTTTCGAGAGGAGGGTGCACTCGCATGAGGGTTAAGATTTGAAATGACTGTAGCCCCCTAGCCTCAGTCTGTGYGGTTTCTATGTAGCTTCTGAAACAGCAGCTTWTTTGSAAGACAGTTTGGGGATTCTCCAAGATGATACAATGATACCATACAATGAATATTATTAGCCTTACATTACTRACTGCTGTAGTTAAAGTTTGAGTGATGTATTCTGATTGTTCCTTGATGGAATCTAGTTTTTCTTTAAGTCGTCTTCTTGCATCATCCAACCGATTTTTCTTTGGTGGCATATTTKTTTCAGAGAAACCTTTAAACACATTATCACAACAAGATATCAAAACAAAATGAACATTATTTTAATATATGCAAAATACAAAAGTACACTTAAAAATAAATTTAAAGACCTTCACATGCACGACACACAGCTSCAGGAAATTACATCTGTCTTAACTTTTGCCACTAAAATACCTTCAATGTTTTCAAGTGTACAAATTTTGCGCGCCAWACTTTAGCAACAAGGTCTTATTTGCTCTTCCATATTAACTATATACAAAACATGCTATTTTTTACTTGCAAAACTCACCTAAAGCCCCCCTTCGGTCAATCAGCTCCCTCTAAGCCTACTAACCACTTCATGTGCAACACAATAAATGTATCTTTGCAGTAAATATTTCGATCTAAAGACGATTTTCGGCTCAATCTTGCACATGTGCTTGAGAGTTGTATTTTGATATGGGAACACAGGAAGCCCAGATATGAGTATGTAAACACGGAATTTGATTGGTAGAATGATCCATAAATCGTGATGTCATTTAGCGCGCCTTGTTTGTAATTTGAATTGTTTGGTCGTCGACAGCAAAGAGACAAAATTGATAGTCATAAAAACAACGAAATTTTCCTTTAATTTATCTCGAGATGAAGGGAAATATTATCTTCTGGATCACAGTGCAACATCAGCAGTTGGAATCAAGGTAAAATTTGGCAGATTTACTATAAAAACTAAGATGAATAGCGGTCACTAAGAAATCATTGCTTGAGTTTATGTAAGTAAGTTATTGATTGGATTTTTCCTCAATTTTTGGAATAACTGATTGCACTACCAGTATAGTATTTTATAGAGGTATAGTTGATTCACTCGTATTCTGCAAACAAGGACAAAATTCCGCTAAAAAYAACAGAATTATTTAAGATTTCAACCGGTTTTCGGGCGCATTTTCACCATTTTTCGAGAAATGAAGACAGGGAATATCATTTAAAAGGTAAGATTATGAACTTCCATGAAATTGATTTTTCCAGTCACAATCAATTTATTTCTTTATATTTTAATTTCAGGTGATAATTTTATGTACGATGGGATCCCTGTGTTGTTCTAATCGATTCGATGCGTTGTTTGTCTCCTTCGGTTCTTCGCCTCCAACAGTGCCCTTAGCAAGCAGCCATTTTCAGCCAAAATATCTTAAACTTAACTCTTGCTAGAACCAAATACCACTCACTGGACTTGATAATTTCATTTCTTTACTGTACGCTTCGATTTTTGGGTGGTAAAAGCCTTCTTCTGTGAAGACGCAAATTTTGATTCGAGCGTTCTGGGAGGGATCGGCTTTCACGAAAATGGCGGATCAGGCTACTGAGGTAAGGTATTCAAACTGTTGTTGTTGTTGTTATTTATTATATTTGTACTCTTCTTCGATGGCTAGTCAACGGCATGAGTTTTTTCTATTTTATAATGAATTTCTAGAGAAATCGGTGGAGAAGAACGCTTTCTAGGTTTATAAACATCACTTTCTTGTACCAGCGGAGCAAACTGAAACAATTCTTCTTWTAGATATAAATGATAACCTTTATAGGAATAGTACAAATGAAAAACAAAAACTGCTTTTGCTTTCCATAGTAGAATAACAACAAAACATTCAAAGTTTGATATATGAGCCATTTATATTCAGAAACAAGAAACCTGATACTTTGCATTTAGCTTTGGGCGGCGAAGACCTCCAGATATTTTCGATTTCCGTTTAACAATTTGGCAAAGCTGAACGTGTGACCATTCCATTTGCTTCTCATTTTTTGTTTCATCTTTCTTAAATTTCTAACTTCAAAGAAATAAGACGACTTTGGTGCTGTAGAAAAACGCGTTTTTGTTTTTCGAAAGAATATCTGTATCATTCTCAGGCAACATGAAATTTACTTGGTTCTTATTGGCTGAAAAATTCAGAGGACTCTTACACGAACAGAAAGAGTAATAACATTAAAATTAATTAAAACAAACAAATTCTTGTTCACTAGGTTGAATTTCCAATGAACTCATGAAATCTTATTTAATTCTTTACTTTTCTTATAGAATTTAAGTGTTTTGTTTTCRAGGATTATTTGGGATGTTTAGTATTCATATTTTGTCCATTTTGCTTGGTTGGTAGYATTATTCAACCGATGAGTTWGCACATTGTGCATGAACTCATTTGTTTCTAAGCTATAATATGATCAACCATATTAACTTCATTTCTAATAATCTAGGAAATGCAAGAACAACCCCAATGTTCCATAACCTTATCTGGTAAGTAAATGGTTTACAAAAATAATAATAATMATTTATTGATTTATATTGCAACATATGATAAAGTTAATGATCGTCTTATATGGACATCTCAATAATATGCAAAGTAGCTCAAATAAATCCACCCCTTCCCAAAAGAAATAACAGAAAATGACTCGTCATATCAAGAAGAATTGTTTACAGGAACACATGCCATCGCTCACAGTTGATAATTAAAATCCTCAAAAGTTCTTTTTATTAAGTATAATGATGAAAAATTCACGCTGCAGTGCCTTAAAGCAATGGACTTTAAAGTGCACTTAACCCTTGAAAAATGACATTTGTTTCTAAAATTAGGGAAGTTTCTAAGAGCTTTGGTGAAATAATGACTCAATTTCATTCAATTCCTGATTTTTGGCAAAAGTTGGATTTTGGCAGCCTCAAAAGAAGTATTGGCCATTTTTATGTTATGAAATGAATTGTAATTTCTGTCATATTGAGCCAATCGAAAAACTAACCATATCACTAAAAAGACTTTATCGACTTTAGTGTAAGTTCCAAGTTACAGATCATTTGGACAAATATTCAATTAATGAGAAGCTGTGCAATTTACAGAGAATGTATGGGGATTTTGACCGCGTCCCCCAAAACAATACATTCTCTGTTAATTTGATGAAATTAGAAATAAATACTGTTCAGCTAGTTTTTATCCAAACATTTTGAAACTTGGTATATATACTAATTTTTGGGTGCCCTTTCATCTGGTGGGGTTTGTTTCGTGAATAGATCAATATTTCTTTGATTAGTGCCCAGTCCCCTGCGCAACGTCGAAATGGCCAATGGAAATGATTGTGACGTCAACCCAGACAATAAGACAATACCTTCTCTGATATTTGGTGTGTTGTTGCAACTGTAAAATCTATAAAAACTGTACTACTAACAGTGTTTGCATGAGGGTTTCGCAGTATCTGATACTGGGTCACATTGTCCACCACAGAGATCTCGAAGTACCTTTTCTTGCATGTTTTAAATTTTGTAAAAAAAATTGGGATTTCAATAAGATTGTGTCATTTTTTCGCCAAAGTTCTAAGAAACTTCYCTAATTTTAGAAAAAAATGTGATTTTTTAGGGGTTAGGTGCACTTTAACTAATAAGTTGAGTTCTGTACATGTAAGTATTCAATGATATCTGTTGTGTTTTTCYAGATGATGAACTAGACATCCATGTTTGTGGGAAATGCAAGGCATCATTTACAGATCTATCAGCATACATTGAGCACAAAAAATCCAAAATYTGCTCAAAACCTACAACAGATGATSAGCAGTCAACATCAAGAGAGAATAGTGTTCAAAAGAAGACGGTAGTTTTGCCAATGCAGTCGCTAGTATCAGGGGGTGTGCAGTCTGGTAATAAAGTGGTAGTGGAGCTGCTGGACCCTGTTGATGTTAGTAGTGTCATAACAGATACTAGTGTTATTGTGCAYACAGATGCTGACAATGAATCACAGCTTGAAGAGGCTACTTCAGGTAAGCTATTTCCTTATCATTCTTCTATCTTAATAAACTCATTTGTTTTTTATTCATTTCTTCCTTTCATTCATATTTTCATCCACTTTAATCAATATATTCATGTTAATTTCTCATTTTTTTTTTTCTAATTTGTATACATACATTCACTATCAAATTACTATTACTAGGAGAAGTCAAAATATGAGTGTGGAAGGAGTCATTAGTCTGTGTTTCATCCGAGAAATAAAATTTCAGATACAATGCAGGTGATGAGGCCGAAAAATTGTCAACTGTATTCATCTCTCACTAAAACACTTTATTGCTAAGTAAGCCTTCAACAAGAAAGTGTCTATTCTAGATTCATTCTGATGTATCACAATTGATAATGTATTTCATCCTTGTAGCATCAAAACCCAAAAAAAGGCACAAGCGTAAAAACTCCACTCCAAAAACCACAAGAAAAACAGCCGCTGCCAAAAAACAACTCATTGAAACATCGGCAAATATTGACGAGACAAACAACACAGTGACGGTRCACATCCCAGAATCACAGCTAGTTCACTTAGGTGGAGAAGCAGGTRGTGCAGATGGGRCCAAGGGGATGCGTAAACAAGAAGCCACCAGTGTTTTTGTCCCTATCTACTTAACCACCAACTCCAAGAAGACATTTAAATGCAGTAAATGTCCAGCGGAGTTTCGTAGTAAAGAAGAACGAGGCGACCATGGCACTCTTCATAGAAAGCACTTCAAGTGTAATGACTGCAGCAAGAAGTATTATACTTTAGAGTCATTAGAATCTCATCGTGCGACCGAGAGTCATGTCCATGCATGTGATCAATGTGGGAAAGTCTTCCACTCTCAAGTCTACCTAAAGAGGCACCTAACAGTCCATGTAGAGGAACGTAACTTTGAATGCGATGTTTGTCACAAAGCTTATACATCAATGGCAAACTGCAGAGCTCATAAGCGATCTGTTCACGCTGTAGTCAAGAAACACGTCTGCGATGAGTGTGGTAAAGCGTTTGCTCGTAAAGACAAGCTTAAACGTCATCAATTGATACACATTCCTTACCCAAACCGTCCCATCTTCCCTTGCCCGTTTCGTAGTCACACAGGCTGTACTAGCACGTTTTACCGAGAAGACAAACTCAAGCGTCATCTTTTTACTCATTCAAAGGAAAAGCCTTACAAATGTGAACAATGTGACAAAGGTTTTGCAAGAAGAGATAACTTAAATGATCACATGAAGACGCACACTAAGGACTTTAGCTACGTGTGTGCGCTATGTCAACGTGGATTCCTTGGTCCTGCTAAGCTCAAGAAACACTTGAAATCGGTTCACCCTGATGAAGAATATGATATTGAAACTATAGCTCAACGAGCAAGAGATGCACCCACCATGGCTAATCTGACTAAGACTRTTGTACCCGCACAAGAAGATACAGTCATTGCAGCCATTGAGCAAGAAAAGACCGCTCTCAACACGCAAGTAACAGTTGGACTCGATGTGGTAAATCAAGCCATCAATCAATCTCATTTCCAACCCGACCAGGAAGAACCACAAGAAGATAATAGCAAAGGTGATCATGACACTATTGAAWGTCAAGAAGTTGAGCCTCTCAGCGCGCATTCTGTACCCCCTGTACCACCTCTAATTCATCAGGTTTCTGGGGGGGTTTCCGAGCCATCGACTTCAAGTGAACTTAGCCCAACGTCTGCTGGTAGCGTGTTCATACCTCGTATTGGTTTACAGAATACTTCGCCTTATACTCGTGATATGCTTACTCTGCCTAACGACTTGTTATCGATCGTCCATGGTTTGAACTAACATCTAATGCCTCGAACTTGTATCGRTTGTTCGTRTGATGAACTAGYTTGATATGCCCACGACTCAAACTTTATTGAATSCTGTACATCTTTTATCGAAAATATCATATCATTACATTTATATACTGACTGAAATAGATCAGTGAATTGAAACCCTGGCCCCCCGCCCCCGTGGAAGCCGGGCGGGAAATGAACAGGATTGATACACGGAGAGGAGAGAGAATCAAAGGAAATGAACTGTTTGGTAGGGGGACGTGGTTTCAATTGACCGATGTATGATATCTCTTGAAATTTTTAACTTTTTATCTGTTGAGCATGGCTCATGACTTTTATCGATTATAAAATGGCGAAAACATCCGAGTTGGAATCGATTACTCATCTGTGTTTTCCACGATTGTAAACGAGTCATTATCGATTAGATAAAGTTTAAGAGTCGTGAGGCTATATGATGCATGTTACTGAAGACATTGTCAGGAAGGGAATTAACATGAAGACATTGTCAGGAAGAGACAATCAAACTTAAGACTTCTTAACGTCAAGGTCTAGTTCATACAACACTGTTTTGGATCCCTGTACTTATTGAAATAGAATCTCCAATGGAAATTATAGTACGGTGATTWAAAAAAACTATTATAATATCGGTATAGATGATAAAAACTTCATCGTCGTCCCCGGGACCATCTCGACCGAATCAAGACGTCGGTCGTATGACAGATTTGGTCCTGGGGACRAGGTTGTAAGAAACCTTTGTGGTAACAGCATGACCTGTCAACAAAAGTGCGTTTTAAGGGAACGATTGGTAWTAAYCCAAAAACGCATTAGTTTTGACAACACGTGTAATAATAAACTAGTTCTTGTTCATCTTTCTAATCTTTTTCCCATGATGAACAAAACATTTCACATTGAATAAACAGGCGTTTATTGTCAGCAGAGTTAGCTCTACATTACAAATATTTCCCTATATAACGGTGTATTTACCTTGAAATGCTTTGAAAGTCATCCAGGTTTCTATAGTGTCAATGGTGATACTCGACTTATAATCTTGGAACGTGAAAAACCTCATCATTTCCCAATCAATTTAACAAAATGTGACCAAACAAAGTTTGCAGTCAAATTATTGTTGGGTGAATGTGATAATGATAATTTTTAGAAGGTCATCGAAGGGAAATGAGATTTAATTAAAATCGACTGGCAAGAATGGCTTAAACATTTATCTCGGTTTGTTGAGAGTGTCTTCAGATTGTTTCTAATCGGTAAATTCATTTGTCACAAAATCTGCTCTTTCCAGTTCTTCGTTTCCAAGGTAACACCGGACAAGCTAACCTGACATTTTCCAAAACTCCATCTCTGCACGAGATTTMAGATGTCAGATTTATTTGTAAAAGGTGTGCACGACTGTTTTGGACGAGGGTAAATTGTATGTGCAATGTGTTGCAATAAGTACGCACGAACTGTTATTCCAAAACAAAGCTGGRAATAGATTGCAATTAAACTCAAAACCTTCGTATTTAGCAAAATTAAAATACAATAAAAATGGCCATTAGCCACCTTAAATGTTAGCTTATAAACGATTATGCTTATTTCAAAATATTCCAAGATTTCTATGGCTGGAAGACACTACAACGTTAGGTTGACTTTCAGGAAAACTTGATAAAGGTTTTGTTCGTTCTATTGCCATTATTATTATTTTGATCTGTATGTAATTACTGGCTTATGTTTTTCCATTGAAGTGTCAACTATCTGTAAACAGTATTTTGTGCTTAATTAACTGTCTGAAACTGTGTACACATGCAATGGTTGTACGTTTCTAATTAAAATCGCGGTTAATACGATAATTTTCTCATATCCGTTTATCCATGATGAACGTTCTTTGAACTTCTTTGTAGTTCGACTGTTTATGATTCAGAAGGCTACTAACCCTTCCTGTTCGACTCACTGCTGTCTTGTGTGTTTCTTCATCTCAGCAAATCTTATCATTTCATAGTTTTTAAAGTTTCAATCCTTCTTTAATTTCAACTCTAATTTTCTGTTGAAGCTGTGTGGTGATCATGGTTAATGAACAGAGCGTTCAGGCAAAATCGTGCCCTCCAATTATAGTCTTCGTTCTTTTGCTTAACCTACATCCAACAAYTGTTGTATGTATAATATTTGAAATTGCGTTCGCCATGGCCTGCGGATTCAGCTGCAAAAACTGTTTTATTCTAAAGGTGTATAACTTTGGTCAGGTTGCTCTGATCGCGGCTTCTTTTTGGTATTCGATAGCTTTTTGCTGATTGCTTTTTCATCGAGTTCATGGAAGTCATCATGTCTTGTTTTGAATACTGTGCATTCTGCGCACGTGCAGGTGCATGTTTTTAACATGTTYCGTTGCGATCTTGATCTGTTCTGAGATATTTTGCATTGTCCATCATGTGAACTGCCTATGGTTGTATTGAATAACATCTCTATCTTTACAAACAAGAACTCTCGGTTGTTATTTGAGTGTTGTATTTTTGTTTGTTATGGTTTTTCTTTTCTTTTTTTTTTGTGTTTTTTTTTTTTTTTTTTTTTTTCATGTATATATATGTATATATATCATGATTCCGTTAAAATCATGTTTCCTGCTCTACACAGTATCGAGCACTCTAATGAAAACTGGAATACCGACGACTAATAGTATATATATCATATATAGTTTCCTGGAAGTGAATATATTGTGCTGTTAAAGTCGTTTTGCTGGTAATGAAGCTATTAGWAGTGACCCACAGTCTGGTTCATTGTCTTGTAGTTATTTGTACTCTGACATTATGGTGTACGCAGACTTTGAGATTTAGTATACATGCTTCATAGACCTTCCTGACTAAGCGGTGATGAATATTGTAATCTGTTGTAATGGCTCCGGTTGATAGGCATGCATTCATTATAGATTTCGGTGATGGCCACACTATGACGGCCGGCGTGTTCTGAATTGTTGTCACTTGTAATTTGGTAGGTAGACTTTGRGCTCGTAGACCTGTCGTAGGTCTGGCTCATTGATGGTCTAATCGCTAGTTCTAGTGACAGTATCTCTTTTTGATGGAGTACGTTGTATTCAGTCTATAGTTATTTGATGATTTTWGCTGATAGACCTGTATTTGTTCATAGTACTGACAGACAGGGTGATGACCGTCCATAACTGAAGAGTTTCAAGTGTTCATTTGTCCGTAGAATTGCTTTGGTAGATCTGTCTTCTCCATCATTGAAACTGCGCGGTTGCAATCAAGAATACTGGGTGGTTATTGGAGTGTTCATTGCTGTCTTGGTGTGCCGTTGCTTGTCTGGTGCGCAGAAAGGTATTCAGAGCTCCGAGGTTCTCAGCAAAGAACTTCTGGTCATCTCAGCTCGGCTCGGTTTTCTTGTGTGCCCAAACATCTTGCCTAACGACTTCCTAAAGTCATGCTTGCCAAAGATATACAAACAAGGATTGAAGAAAGACGTCAAGAAACGAAGCATGTGGAGGACGTACTCTGCTTGGTGAGACAACTCGAGGAAATTATTACCAAAATTCTGTTGGATCCTAAGGATGAAGAACGAAAGCCAGCAGAATGTGAAGACTGTTAGCATAATAGCAAAGGTCAAAGCTGCTTTCCATTCGTGGCGAGTTTGCTGTCGATTCTCTTGGTATCCTGGGATGCTATTTTTCTTGATGTTTCGAGATTGTCGTAAGACTTCAAAGAATATAAAACTGTAGGTGACGATCATGACGAGGAGTGGAATGGCGAAGAACAGGACGATTGACGCGATGTCGTATGGGATTTCTTTCTCAAGGACCGACTCTGGACGATCTGCAACGCTCAAMTCTTCTTCTGGCACATACCATGCTAACTGGATCAGGGCAGTAAACATGGACAAACCCCACACCAATGCAAGCATGATGGTAGCACGCTTCTTRGTGACCAGGGAATGATATCGGAGTGAATATATGATGGCCAGGTAGCGATCGATGGTGACCATTAAAAGATGCAGAACAGTTGATATGGATGATATTCGTAGGATTATACCCGACATTACACACACGGTAACTGACCATGTCAGGTTACAAGCTATGTATGCTGGRATACTGAATAACCCCGTCATGAGATCCGACACAGCAAGACTACATAGGATATAGTTGGTAACTGTACGWAGTACCTTCTTCTTATACACCAAGAACAGAACGAACGCGTTAATAGCGATTACTAACACWGCTAAGATAATAGGAAAGACGTCTTGTGATGCATTGAAACCGATAWTATARCCTTCRTCGTCGTGATKGGTGTCATTATCACGCGTTTCRCTACTTGAGTTATTCATCTGMMTTCCTTATAGAGCAGCTATTCTGCAGCGGTCCTTGTGGCGATGTTTTGCAGTMCTATGGGTACTCGTCAGGCCTGTGATTAAACAAAGATTTCAGTCAAAATGAATTCAATCCATACAACGGAAGAATACAAAGGCATTTAAGTGACATATTGACTTTGAATGTTTCTGTACGGTAAATATTTCCATAACCACTTCCTCCTATTCTCATGCTGTCTCCCGTTCAAAGACTAACAAAAGAAGTATCTTCACATGAAAAGAGTCGTCATATTAYACTGAACAGCAATCAACTATCGATCAACGACCATTAACTACCAAAACTGCTGAAACCTAGTGAAAATCCCCCCCCCCCCTTTCCCAAACATTTAAGCCTCAAAAACGCTAATAAATTGTGTGAAATTCCGGTTGGGATTCGCAACATATATATTACTTAATTACCATACTCTTCTTTTTTTGTTTTCTTGTTTAGTTTGATTGTTTTYGTTGTTTTGATTGCTTCTGTTGCTGTTGCTTTTTTCCTTCTTCATTAATTGGGAGAAAATTAAAATTTTTAACCATTATTTTAAAAGATACGAGGAGAATCCCAAATGACTCAAATTTTCTCACCTACGTAAAAAACTTCAAATATATCACGCTTTTGACCGAAGTGTAGCGGTATTTGGACTCTCTAGTAACGGAACCCGGAGCGTCACGAAAAACGCATAGTGACTGCTTTTTAGCAGGACGCAAGCAGATTAACGATTGACTATCCTTCAACCACCGTGACTCTTGTGACATTWTAAGCTTGAAATTAATCACAGTGAACCATGGACAATTTCTAATTATGGGAAAAATATATTTCATTCACGTCTCCAGCTAGGCAAACAGAAGTCCATTAACTTCTCTTTGTTATTTCCGTGGGGGGAGATGGAGAAAGTTGCCGCCAAACAATATGACTTAATACTTGCGGAGATTGTAGTGATTTTTTCAAACTAACTTGCAATGTGATATCTTTGTTGGYTTTTTAATAGATATTCTCTAGAAACAGGAAAATACTATTTTAATGGGCTTTGCAAACCATGAAGATAGTGACTTTTTCTTAGTTTATTTATAAGTATAGTAAATCGCACGACCTTGAGTACAATTTGGAATTAATTGTCACGAGTAATGTTTTGAAAATTCTTCGTAATTTCACGAGCCCGCTGTACGAGAGGTTGTGCGATTTTTTGTTAATATTTCATTCAGTGAATCAAAATTTTATAAGGAGTAAATTAACGCTGTAATTGTACTTCTCTCGACCAATGAAAAAGTATTATTTTGTTGAATGTACTATACATGTTATTCTAGTCTCGTATAGCTGACATAGAATACACAACTATATGATATATGTTTGATGGATGTTATTAATTGTAATGAAATACACTTGGATTAAGTAAACCCGTGAAACAGTGAGATCAAAGTGCAAAAGGAAGACAAAAAACATCTAAAATGAAGATTGAACGCTAAACCTATGAAAATATAGTAGTTAAACGTATGATAATTGAATAGACACACTTGAAAACCTGGTGCAATGATCGAGAACTATGGACAAAAACATGTAAAATGAAGATTAATAACTTGTTGAAGGCTAAACCTATGAAAATCTAGTAGTTAAACGTAAATTAGTTTAATAGAAACAACTAGAAAACCTGGTGCAATTATCGAGTACTATGGTTTATTAGTTTCATAACAAAGGATTACTGCCCTTGATATAGTTAAACAATGTCTAGTGCGAAAGAAAAATGTCTGTATTATTTTTTACTGTTTTTTYATGTCGAAAGAACTAAGCCAGTAATTTTACGCTGATCTATATGACATGTTATTATCTTTTCCAATCAAATACCTCGGAATTGGACGCAGTCTGAATGTAAACATTGTCTTTTGCGGTGCTTGACAGTAGCTAGTTTGAGTTTAATTGCAGTCGGAGTATTGATACAAATGCAAAATATTATTACCTTTTCTGCTTATCGTCGAAACAMACCGCGTGCTGGGAAAGTAATCTAGTAGGAAATAGGTTCACTCGCCTTTTCCTTATAAACCCAAACTTTGATATCTTTTTTTATCGCTTATATCTTTATATTRGAGTGAATAAGCCATGAAGGCATTGTAATTAGTGCCTAGGAAGCGAAATAGGTCGGTGCGCAGAGAGCGATGGAAAGCCGATATATTTCAAAAATATGGCAAATAGATTCGTGTTGTGATCCTTACCCTCTAAATTGTTTCATCGTTTTATCGTTATTGTAACTGCTATGATGTGTTTTATTATTTTTTGATATATCGTGAATATGTACCATAGATAATCTTTTTCTTTCTGTAGGGCGTTTGTAATCACGTGATAAACTGACTCAATACCCATGTTACATTGCGGTCTTGACTCGTATCAATATCTTATTAACCGAGTTTTCCACTCGTGTTGTTTTTTCTTATATTTCGCGGATTGATCAAGGCGTTTATCATATGTTATAGCGACATTCATAATACTAGGTAAGGCCTATATTAGCAAAGAACAAATATAGGGTATTATRAATGCAATGAAACAGCGTGGTKCTAAAGGGCAATAACAATACAGACACAATTTTTTTCATTTTTATTATTATTGAACTTCAATACGTGAATAAAACAGAAGCATTTTACGCACACTGATAGCAATGTYTACAAATGGATGTATTTTGACGGATATGTTGAGGTTTAGATCTTCAAAATAAAAGCTTAAAATATCCGTTTTGTTATCAATGCACAAAACATCAATATATTAAGAATCAGTAATGGAAGTGATTTGATCAGTCTAGTCAACAATAATTAACGTGATCATTCYGCGATAAATCTCAACTTCCATTTTAGGTGTATACATGTTTATTTCATTTTTTTTTTTTTTTTCATTTTATTTCACATTTCAACAACCATCTTGGGATGTTATTCATGATGTAATCTTTCACTTGCTTAACAAATAAAAATGACAATCCATTTAAAATTAATTGCTGCTCAAAAAAACCCGGTTATATATAAAGCTTATAGTGTTACTAACGACCTACGTTACTTAAAAGAAACAGTTGTGTWAAAATATAAATTTAACAAAAAAATTGGTGAAATAACTTACTGACGTTTCGGACGTTAAACCTTAGTCTTTACACCGACGAAGGATTAACGTCCGAAACGTCAGTAAGCTATTTTACCTACTTTTTTACGGTGTTARATTTATCCTTTTACACAACTGTTTCTTTAGAGCTTGATATGAATAAAATGGATAGAATGTRAAACAWCAACAACATGAGGTTGATTGGAGTCATGAATCACGACAGTGCCTTGATGTGAGCTAATTGATAGATTGTCTGCASACAAACCCTGAGTTTTCATTTCCTTTGAAGTGAACCGGCATTATGACTCCATTTTTATGGATAGATTTGTTGTTATGGTAACGAGTAAACCACTCGTTATGGTATCGATGCGTCAAAGTGCTAAAGTTTAGGTTTAGRGGTCTAAAGGTTGAAAACAATTTGACTTAAATGAATTGCATTTTTACTTTACTTTAGAGCGTTCTCAACGTTTTGAACCCTTAYATAGAAATGCTTAGTATAATCCTGAAGAATGTTGAAAGCTCAATAACATTGTCATCATTGCACTCGAAACAGCAGAAGGAATGAAATGTASGAAAGTGTTAAAATAAAAAAAATGTCAATCAAAAGAGACGAAATGATGAAAACAGATCTAACAACAAYAGTCGTGGCTTGAGGTAAAATGTGATTTTATCAAGATAAAATAAAAACTAAGAAGAATAAAAACGTGATMATTTAAATTGAAATATTTTAAAATAAAATGATATGCTATCTTACCCGGCAAGGAGTGTTTTCGATGKCGCCGTCTGTTAGTCAGCCAATTGCCTTGCCCAACATAAAGCTGTGAAAGAATCACATGACTTGATAACGCTGCTAATTGCAACAAAGTCGTAGTTTGTGTGGGAAAAATACGCCGAAAGCAACTTCATAAAAGCAGATGCTTAATTATTATTATTTTCCATATAATTCTTTATTAAGTCGTAGCGTGCGTCGAGTATAACTACCAAAGAATAATGGCGATTGATTCATGGAAAAAGCAATCATATACATAATTAGTTTCCATGAATATTTTTGTGTTTGGCGATAATCACAGATGTATAGTTCCCATTCAAGATATGTGTTCTCTGACTGACCAATTTATCAACCAATTTACCCATACACTTGAATTGTATATACAATTATACATTATTTGTCACTACGACTCGAGTATGTGCAAACAGAAGCAATGAATTCAAATACATTGACATTTACGCAAGCATAGAAGACACAACAGGCATAAGACAAAACTCCACCCCATAAAACCTGCATTTTGTTTTCAAAGTCTACAGAAACTTACGTCTTGGGCAAATCAAGACTTGAGATGCACTTTTTATATTGGCRAACTTGAATCGTACAAAACTAGAAACACTACTATAACAGCGTCGCTTGAATACTGAAACRATTTATTTAAACATGAGCGACAGTGCAGGGAAGAAGTATCGTATTCGATAAAATCGAGGGTCTCGAGATTCGACTTCAAATCTAAAGAWATGTTACGAAATTGCTTGCGCGCAGAGCGTGCATATTACGATTTTTAGGCMTTCAGGCGGGAAAACTTTCCGCTTTTTTAATTTACATATGAGCTGTAAGTTATCCGTTTATTKTGYGAGTCGTGAGTAAAACATCTATTAACGACCGATGAGTGGAATAGAAATCAAAGCTATCTTCATAAAAAATGGCAAGTCGGACTTAAATCGTTGAATTGAAAAGGTTTCGAGTTGACAAGCTTAAAATAGACGATAAAATGTATTACTGATGACGTTGGAAAGCGATTTTGCACTAATCCTGACGCCGAATGCTCAACAATGAGTGCCGGAATAAAGTAAAGAAGGAATAAAGTAGATTTCTTGATTAATCATCGACAAATAAACRGCATTTCGAGCAAATACGAACACTTTTAGAAGAGATTTTATCTGCTTTTCGATTCATGTTTCATTTATACACAGATATTGAACATGAGAATGTTGGGATAATTTATGTTAATTTATGTAGGGTTTAAAAAGATTGTTGAGTGACGCTTTTCAAGAGAACAGTGATAAATCGGTTTTTCATTTCACATAGATTATGCACAGACTGTACTAGAATACTTCAAATCTCACAGTTAAGTACCTAGAATATTATTGTTTTGATATTTTTGAGAAATATTTCACGGTTTCAAAGTATACTATGTTTATTTTTTCAAGGTTTTTTGGCAATTGGGTTTAACCCCCTGAATTTAAAACAAATTAATTTGAGACAGCAGATGCATTGTACGGCTGTATTTTTTTTTTTCGGTAGGAGGGCAGAGTGCGAAATGACCATCATTTTTCTTCATTTTTTCATCATTCTATTCTCTGTTTTTGTCATCGTTTAAGACAACCAAAAATTAGTGATAGCTAAATAATGCAGCAAAATGCGTTTAAATATTGGGATCCTAGTTTGTCAAAAAAAGCAAAGCCTGCTGTATGCGAAAGCGGAAAAGCCTAACACTGTTCATACAAAAATAACTATTTTATGATAGTACGATCGGGAAAGACTGACAAACAGCATGTCGCAGAATCACTGTTGGACGTTTAATTTTGGATTTTGTCCTCTTTTCGACAGCTGTCTTTACTGAAGCTWMCTCAATATCTTCCACCAATCATCTGATCGAAAAATTTCAATTTTAAGAACAAAATCATAGCATGACCCATACACAACACCTTCTTTACATTTTCAAAGTTTTTTGAAGATAAATTATTCAGATGGATAAAGTTTCACGATTATGACAATGWTGGGTTTGTCGAAGACCCACAGGGAGACACAAAACGTTCGTTACCAGAGTACTATCAACATCAAGAGATCTTCCTTTGTTTTTCGTGTTTGTGTATAAATTGTGTATGAAGGATGCGAACAGCATCGGCCAAATCGTTAACTGAACAAATAAACTATTTCACTTGTCTTAATAAATAAAGTTAAAAGACAAACGGATCTTATCGCAAACTTTTTATCTAATTCCCAATTGAGTCCTATAATCTAGTTTTTTAAAGTTTATAGCAAATTAACATATGAATTGATAGTTGATTAAAACAGTTTAGAAAAGACAAAATGTTTTGGGGGATTTCCTCGAAAACAGTTCAATGTAAACATATGCCTTACAGAGGAATATTGAGACTACAAAAAGGAGCTTTTGCGAGCTGATCTATGTAAACAAGGTTATTATGTTAAACTTGCTTGAAGTCTGCCTACGGCAACATAACGTATAGGTAGGCAAAGTCAACAATATCGAGCGAGAAGGATATTGAAGTTTAGCAACGAGATGACTCATTTTCCAGTTYCGTGCAAGGGAAAGAGAAGGGTTTTATAAAAGGAAACTTCAGCTGTAACTTGATGGAAGCTCAAAGAGCATATATTCTTTGATTCAGAAATTACTGGTATGTTAATTATGAACCYCTCGTTAAGTTTTAACCAAAACAGGTACTTACCCTAACTACGGCGACCAAGATAGGCACATAATRGTTTGCTAGTGCCGACTTACTGATTGTACATTAAGTTGTAGTATGAAGTGAAATCGGGTTACGACTAATGTCCCTTGATATCATACGTAGGTTGCTTAACCAATCAAAAACATTTACTAAGCACCATTTGAAACACTATTGTTTAATCGACCAATCACAGAGTTGTTAGCAAGACGTAAGAGACATTTTCGCGTCGTCTCGTCCAGTCATATTCGTTCTTTTAGAAAACCAATTAAATGCTTAAGAATTTCACTTTCTTATGAAGGGATTATCGGACAAGGAGAAACTTCTCTCATCAAAATTGCTTTTGAGATTTAAATTATTAGCCTTCGTTGTTTTTGTCGATTTAAACATAATGATTTTTTGCAATGAAGATGTTTCTAATTTACTTATAGTGCCCACGTTTGCTCTTATGAGAGAACTTCTTTTATTTTAGTTGAAACTTGACAGTTTTCTTAAAGTTTTAGTCAAACAAACTAGAAAAATTGGGAAGCATAAAATTATCTTTACTAGTTTCGTCCACGAATGATGCATCACATTAAATGGATTCTAATAATATCTTATCAAGTGTTGTATTTCAATAAAAGGAGTTAATGTGTCATTTAAGTATCTGTCTAAGTTGACCAAATGACAGGAATTACACTATGGATATATCAACAATGTGTAGACCAACATCGCACCAATTCTTCGCTATCGTTTATCAACGTCTTATTAATATGTCAAACGACGGAAACAGCCCGCAAATGTGATACGTCTAAAACTGCAAGTTCTATTTCTGCATAAATATGGTGGGACATCGAATCTTCCAAATAACATGATCGATTTGATAGTAGGTGATAATGTGAGGGCGTCCGACCGATCCAAACACCTCTCGCGCATGTGAATCAGCAGCTAATTTGGAAATCACCTGATATACTAGATCAAAAATGGCTTTCCATCCAATATGACTCGAAAACCTCATTAAACAACTAACTGCAACTTTCATTTGATTAATTTATCGTAACACGAAGAACTTACAAAATCTCAAGATATTTTTCATTAAGACTAGCTCTGCTAAGGACCTCAAAGCAGTGATCTCTGCTACGTTTAATTAAAGCCAATTTATTAATGAGAATGTTGAAAATCACAATATACTCCTCATTAGCTTGCCTTTTGTTTTCTTAAAGGTTTCCGTGCTAGAGCCTCACTCTACAAACACTTCAAAAGCAAAATTATAGTGAATTTTCTCATAGTTTCTCTCGTTCCAATTCTACGTATCTAAAATTTAGAAGATCTCCAGTTAATTTTCATTAAGATCAAAATAGGTGTAGTTTCGTGCGCATCTCGTAAAGTCTTGTCAAAGCACACAATACAAAATGATTTCGTGCATGAAGACAGAGCCGTCATAATGTTATGGCCAGCCTTTTCAAGTCATTTAGAAAACATACTTAATATCAAAAAAATATTGGTCCGTCCGCTAATGAGGACTAGATCAAGTCTTGGAATTCTAGTTAACTTCTAAATGATCTTATTAGTGTTGATAATTATTGGCAATCACTGACATGAATAAATTATGAGAATCTGCTTTCAAATCATACCATCATGGTACTATGGCAAAGTATTATTATTCCAGCCATTCCAGTAACTCTTGCATAGAGTCTGGGTCTTATTAGCCGGTTTTGTAAGAACTTAGTCTATGTATCTATATATCTATCAATAAACACTTCAGGCTGCATTTAATACATAGAAAAAAGTATGGACATAAACATATTCATGAAAAACCTCAAAATATTCCAAAKTTCTATTGACTGTAAAACATACACTGAATAATCCTGCACCATGATGTAAAAATGCCAGGTTAAAAACAAATCTAAACAAAATGCGTCAGAGCCATTAACTAATTCTTCGTTTGCAGGTTTACGTCACAGCGGCCATCTTGGAGGCACTTAAACAAAGGATTTMTYATTAGTATCTATTGTTCATTCCTCAAACGTGGCCGCCGGTTTTTTATCTTTTTATAATATATAGAATCTCATGGGAATGGTTGAAAAAGATCAATTTTTCTKGTTGTTTAACTGCTCTCTGTTTTCAATAGATGTCACAGCTGACATTTTGGAGGAACTTCGAYAAAGGATTTCCCGTCCAGTGTTGAACCTCATTTGAATGATTGGAAATGACCAATGGTTTGATACAAACAACATCCAACACGATGCCCACTCGTGCGGAAGTCAATAAACCATGGAGATGTGTTTGTGTCATTAAAATGTCCGTTTTGCCAGGYAAAACGCTTAAATCAACCAAACGCCGCGGTCAGTTAAATGAAATCAGGGGAATGAATGAATGAATTCCTGAATGGAATTAATGGTTTTAAAATAATCATAACAAAAAGAGATTTAGGAAAGGCGGGTGGTACTCCGTGAAGGTACAAATTCATTCCATTAAAGTGTTAGAAAATATTCACCAATTATTAGGATTTCCAGTGAATGGTTCATTAGGATTTTAACTGGGGCCATCCCACTTCCTGGTCGAACGATATAACCTGACTAGATCGAATTWATAGACCAGTTTAACCATCAAATATAACAAATCGTAATATAAATACAGTGAAAGATTATGCTGTTAACATTAAATATAAGGCAGTCAATCGAGAAATGTTCGTCCAATAAAATCTACTCGGTACGCAATAGATTACTCGGCTTGATAACATTTAATGGCAGCAATGCATTTCGGTCTTAGAAGACTCTATACTGTATTCACTAAACCTTTTTAAGCAATATTTGTATGGCAGCATATATTGTACCTCGTCCTCGGAATCAGTCTTAATATTGTCCAATGAACGTGTTTTTAAAATACTTTTATTTTTCAATTTTATTATTATTATATTTTTTAAATTCTATTAGTGATCATTCAGTTGTTTTACTAAGTATCAAATCAGGGTTTTTTTCATTAATATTCAAGGTTGAAAAGTACAAGGATGCTCCTCTTCCTAAAAAAATTCATTTTACTGTTTTTGCATTACAAAGGTTGCTTTGCGACGCAATAAATTATCTTAGCAACGATTAACAGCGGAAGATAATAGAAAATAGAATAATCCCGCTTAATGCTGTTAAACTTGGCTTATTTTCCCAGGTTAAAATGATTGACCAACGCAATGCTTTGGAGTYGCGAAAGGCCGAAAATGTTTATTGATTTATTAAAGAAACCGGTACTTTGACAATTTAAATTATATTGTATTCACTTTGAATAAGAACACATCCTCTATTTGATGTTGTTATAGAGTACGTGCCTACAGTACTGTCTGGACAAACTGGCAGGTATGTAAGAAACGGCAATAGCTAACATTTGTTAATTAGACCTTGCACACCGCAATATTCTTAAGAAGACCCCATAAACAAACCCGTGAAGCTAGTGCACGTTCGTTTTTAAGGTAGAGATGGTGGATTGGTCAATTACGTTACTAATAGAAAACCTTCAAAATCTAATTGCTCACGTCCCGAGGAAGCAAGGAAGTGYCTTTATTATGCTAAGAACAGCATTAAAGTACAGAGTACATAGGAAAAGACAAAATAAAAGAAAAAATCACTCAAACAAATCAACCCAGATTGTACTTCGATTCATTTCGATGATTAAGCGTTCTAGAATAAACCATCTTCAGGTGTAGAAATATTACTAGAATTACTAGGTTTAAATTGCTCATTTATGGATGAACTATCGACRCAATTACATCAGAATTCCAGGCAATCTCGATAATGATGTTTATTTGTTATTTGCATGTTTTCGCGGTTAAAGCAAACAAGAACACCATTTGTATGTWTTTGCAGTGGAAGGGCTTCCTACTGACATTGTAATGGGGTTTTTTTTTTCTCTCTCTGACACTGAATTGGTTTTTCATGTGAAAACGAGTAGCCGTACCTATGACATGAATCGTCTGAGCTTAAATAACGCTATAAAAGAAAATTAGTATGATTTCACTGAATAACAGGAGCACTAGATTCAATTCTATGTTGACAATTATACATTCTAGTCGTGCTTCGACACTATTTAATTCCAAAGTTGAACAATCTACTTAATATGCTAAAGCGAATATCTGTTGGTGTATTGATGCAGTAAATCATATTAAGCCAAGGTACTTGTTATTTGTCTTTCACACAACATGGCTCAGTATTTCACTGATAATAATCGTTTCTTTTCACGAGATTTAGTCAGTAAAAATGAACAAAAATAGATCGATCCGGATTATTGCATAAAGCCCAACGCCTCGGGCCAAAACCAGTCGATATGGGAAGGTACCACCCTTATTTCAACAACCATCGCAACGTGTATCATATATACTTGCTATATGTTAGATGGGTACATCTTTTAGTATCGATAATGGGTGGAAATTTACTCCAAATTATCGTGAATTGTGATAAAGCAAAAATTACAGCAGTATCTAGAGATAGCAAGTTAACTGATAAATGTTATTGTATCTAGTCTTACTTACAAAGTGAATATCGATRTAGTCAGTCCTGATGTCAACCTCGAAACAAGAAGTGTTGAAGAAACCTCAACAAGGGTATTTAAAATGGACTTTATCTAATCTAATCCAATCGCTGGCCAAGAAATAATCACGATGTCATATCCTATTAATAGCAACCAATCACAAGACACTTGTGCAATTAAGTATCATAATATGATTTAAGTGTAGTTTTAGTTTAATTGACTGGTTGGTTTATACAATTTGTTGGCTTGTTGATGTGATTTATCGTTTCTTTATGAAGATTGTTCTTGGTTAGAATTAGATATACAAGATTCGACTTTCTGTAATGGAAATAAAACAGGAATAGAACTTCACAAGTGCTTCAAGTCCTACTGTACCTGTATACATTCAACTTACATATATATACAGATCTTACAATAGCTGAATATATTATCCTTCAAAAGTAACTGTTCCACAGTGTACATTCAAAAAAAAAACTATGTAAGTTAATGTGTAATACGTCAAGTAATACTGCACTTAATGGCAATTAATCAATCTATTTCGAAGATTATCACAACATTTTGAATAGATATATTAGAACATTAGATAGATTTTGTAGTAAGTTGATTTTATTGCTTAGTTATTTGATAAATGTGTTAAAAGTGAGTGTGAAATAATTATCCACTCAATTAAGTCATTCCATCATTCCAATGGTTTTATCAAATTATTTTCACTCGTTCATTTATTGGTTCATTATTCATTCATTCCTTTATTATGACTTTCTTCATTTTTTTCATTTATCTTTTTCATTTATTAATTTGTTTTTTCATCTATCCATTTATCTTTTTCATTTATTAATTCATTTGTTTTTTCACCCATTCATTTATCAATGTTGTCATTTTATTATCCATTCATTTCTTTATCTGCCCAATCATGGGTAACATAAAACTGTATTAAATCTTTTCGTGTGGTTAAGCCAATTAAAAACGGTCATCAATTAGGACAAATTCACTCTGAATATTTCTCCACATGAAGCAAAAATAGGAGATGTCAAAAACATTGACTTCATGTCAGCATAAATAAATAAATATGAACTAGTTTAATCAATTATCTTCGACGAGCAAAAAAGCGCTTAGCCTGAGGATTTAAATACCATTAGTTAATAAAAAACCTTCCAATAAACTACAAGAATGATTGCGTTTGCTTTCTTGATTGTAGTAGATTTGCACAGGCGAAGGAAATCATCGTGTTATATTTGTAAAGCGCGAGGTAGTATTTTTGCACCATAGCCCTGAATGTCAGGCATTCGTCTAGATTTTTACAAGAGAATAATGAGCTTGACAGAAATGCTTTTCAGGAATTGATTTTGAACCAAGCAGTAAAGGAATCTTGACACCATATGACGTCATAGTTTAAAGAATGACGTCATTATCACTAAGGCGTCATGCTCAATGTCACGTCTTCTAAGCACTACTACAAATAAACTTTGAAGCGTGTTTAGTTTCAGTGATGACGCCCAATTTCGTCAAACTGAAAGCACTTTTGACTTAAACAACGAGTTTTGCTGTACTTTGCTTTTTTTTACTTTGTTTTTTTTTTTTTTACTTTTCGTTTTTGGTGAATTTATATCCTTTCGTCCTTTTAATTTTGAATTTTACGGACATCAGTTCCATATAATTGTATAAGAAAATATATCTGAAATTTCGAAAATCCACCCAATCACATTGCATAAATCCCGAAATCACATGACTTATTGATTGGCGGCAAATAACCTTTGGGATTCCATAAATCCTTCATCAAAGCTGATTTCTACACGGTWAAGCTGGCTTTCCTAAGTAGTGCATTAAACATCTCGGGGCATTAACTGACCCTGAGCCGGCTGATGGACTTGTGTGTAGATAACGCTCTATTTCACGACATGACCGACCTCATTTTGATAGCATTTCAGTATTTCTCAGTAAACTGAATTATTCCAATATGAATATAAGAAATGTCCTTTGTCAAAGAAGGGCAAACGCCCTGTTCATAGGTGGTAATCCATTAGACAATAGGTCGAACGAATTTTTTTTCCTTTCAGTTTGTGGAATTTTTTTCCGATGTGAAGTTTGTTTGTTTTTTTTTTACATTACGAGTAACATATTCGATCAGTCTTACCTTGTGGAGAAGTTATTCCCGTAAGACCGGCGTCAAGTTGTTTTACCTGAATGGACAAACCTCGACCAACAGTTACATAAATAGCTCGCCAAGAAGACACTAGGCTGCACAATCATCCAATCAGATCTTTGTATTCTATCCAATAAGAAATACTGATTCATATTAACGTCAAATCCTTAAAAACCTTTTAAACAACTTGTTATTCTTAGAACGAAATAATTGACTGGAAGTGTGTGCACTCTAAAACTAAAAAGAATATATGGATATTGGTGGAACAGAGGAGAAGAGTTTGTTTTGTCTAGCTGGTAACAACGACACATAATGCTGCATTACATAAAAATGCCATTAATCCCAGTATTGTTTTATTCTACGATGTAAAATTACTTTTCTATCTTATGTATATGCAATAGGGTTGCAATAAAATACATGTAAGATACATGTAAGATATCCATAGATATTGCACTTAGAAACACTCTCGGTGAATTACGTAATCTTTCTTAAAATAATGGTTAGTCATCAATCTTCGTAAGGATGCACTCCAAATAGTCAAATTACACGAGATATTCTTTTTCTTTTGCTGATGTGTTTCATCTCCTAATTAATATAACTTTATTGGGAATAATTTATTAATAATACAATATAATATAATCACTAGCTAGAAGCGTTAATTAATACATGATAATGATGAATACTTATCAGCTGTTGACGGCARGTTGGGAAAATTATAAATGACATGTAAGACATGGTCATAAAATTGTCATATGTAGAATGATTTAGAGATGTTGACGATGGATTAGATACAAAAACAGATTAAATTGAGAAAGACAATCAAATGAATGAATAAATAAAGCAATTCAGTAAAGCGAAATATCAAATTCCTGTMAAGAGTCATTGTGTTGTGGGAAAATGAAATATTTACAACTTTTATATTTCAATTGATTTCTGAAATCTTACCCATCCTATGAAAAATTAATTACAAAATTWCAAGGTAGATATCAAAAGAAAACATTTCGGTTACTTTTCTGTATTCCTTAGTGTCAGCTCTCGAGCCATCGTTTCAACTTAGGAACAAAATGTGATTTCTTCTCGCTTTTACTTTCATGTTAATCTTTGTGTCCTGAACGTGTCGCTAAATTTAGAAATAAAACCGTTTTGTGACATCATCTTTAGTTGCTTTCTGCCTCGTGTTTGCTGTACATTCCTAACACATACAGCAGACTGCGTTTACGTTATACCATCGCATACAGCAGCTACGTTTTACGCTATATAATTGCAGGATTTTTTTACTGTTTTAATCAGCATTGCGCATGACTAAGGTAAGTGCATTCATTCCACCAAAGAGAAGTGAATACTATCGCAACTCAGTAAATATATTATAACACGACGTCCGCTAATGGTTCACTAAATGATTCAAGAAAGAATTCTCATTGATTTGATTAAAACCGGACAGACTTGACAAAGAAATTGACTGAAAAATGCGAACAGTTATCGAATAAAAGGTCAATTAGCTATTTATCGATTTGGTGAATGTTTTATCATTTCTAATAGATCGAAAAATTAAGCATCAACAGGAAATGTTCCATATGCCTTCTTGTCTGAACTCACGTATTCGATGAACCCAGTTTACTCCATGATATTTTCGTTTTTCTTGTTGTGTGTAATGATATTTGATATTATGTTGTAGTATTGCAGAGAGTGATATGTTTTTTGTTTCACGGATCTGTAAAAATGAGTCTATTTGTAGTAGGTAATCAATACGATCCCAATATGACTGATTGCCTGAGGTTTTTATTATCAGGTTTTCCTGTGTCTTTCGTCTTATYATTACAAAAGTATAATATTTCACTTTTAAATTTCGGAATCAAATCTTGATTGAAAAGCTGATATTTTGCCTTTGATAAGAGGGTTTTTTAGTCTGTAATATAAAACCTTAATCTTATTCTCGACGAGTATTCAATCCGGTTTTCATAATGTATCGCTTGTATTGATCGTGAGAAAATCGCTTTGAAAAACCTCAAGAGGTTTTACGCCATTACCCAGTACACTTGAAATCGTATTATGAACTCAAATCGAAATTCATATTCACTATGTTGATTTTTTTGAGGGAGGAAAACTACATCCCCTAGAAATGAAAACCACTCCTAGTAAGAAAGAACAATTTATTATCTAACACATGTTCTTAGCCTGGTTGTTGGCCTCAGGAGATGTGTCAGCAGCCCTTCCCMTTTGAATGGCCGCACARRCTAACATGGACCATGTTTTAAGATTCAAACGGTGGATCACAGGGATGAGAAGCCAGCTGTTAAACCATCCAGGCAACACCGACAATCCTAAGGRAGGGAGGGTTAGACATGGTGATCAAGGTCTTTTGGATTTTATTCCTGAAAAATAATCACGATCTTGTGTCAAAATGTATTCCACCAAACGTACAATAAATAAATAATTATACAATATCAATTCCTATTATATATATGGTCATGATATCGGCTGCTTGGTATTTGCACGTAATAATAATTTTGTAGCTACCGCTTCTACCCCTCCCTCCCTTCCCCCATCACATTTTTCTTATATTAGTTTAGCTCGTAGACTCTGCGCGGCTTTATGAAACAAACCCTTTTTTTCAATACTAGCAATGTGCTTATATATAATCATGTAATCATTACGTAAAACACTAACGTGAAACACAACACTGTACTGCACAATAATGCTAACCTAAAACACCAACGTAAAACAGTAGCGTAAAATGAGCGTAAAACGTTAAAATAGTACACCAACCCAGACTATTGCGTAAAACAACCGTAAAACAAATGGCACTATAGCACACAGAGGTAGATACGTCCACAGCAACGCGTTTTCGTTAGCTTTACATATAAGTGCGGTAGCGTCCCTTCGTCTTACGCTCTTATTTTACAATTATTATCAAATAGCAATTTGTGAACGAAAGGCAAAAAACAAAGCGATTAAAATGTTAAAAATAGCAATAACTACGATATCAAGTGATTATACCGCAGGTGATATCAACTAATGCACTGTAGCTTTTAACACTTTTAAAAGCTTATTTCTAACTCTGTGAACTGATCGCTAACACATGACACTCACTACCTGCAGGCAAACTAATAACTTAGCAATAACTAGGGAAAGTTTTAATTTAGGTTGTGAATCGGTAAAAAAAAACAATTCAATTTTGCTTTTAATCGACTTCATGCACTGTATTTCATTTTAATGCGATATATTCAATTTAGCGCAATTTCGTTATGTTGGTTTCTCGTTTTTCTTTGTTTTTCTGCGTCGTTTATCTTGCTAAAAAACTGCTACAAACTGATCGATATTGTCGGAAACGATGGGAACTTTTAGCGATAAAGTGATATGGATTTTTTTATCCTAAACAAATTTCAGAAATTTCTAAGAATATCTCAAAACAGGGGATTAAAGAGGAAATCTCGTCCTATAAAAAGGGATGCTCTTCTTTGGAAATTTTAAAAATAACATCGTATATATTAGACATTGCAGCTAACGATGTACTAAGGTATCATGCAATACGTGTTTGTATTTTAGATATGGTTGCTGWTAGTTTATTCCCATATATTTCCGATATTGGAGTGTAATAAGTCAACTAGTCGCCATTAAGGGGAGACGCTTATCCCCACCCTCCGATGAATGGAAGTCCACCTGGAGCCAGGCCGACAAACTACAAACATCACCGCTTAAATGGTTAAAAATGTTTCAATATCGATATCGTAACAACCACATTCTTTGGGCTGGTGTTTGTATTCTGTTCTTACAGTAATGTAGTACTTTCTAGTTATCGGGTTATCTTGATAGGAAACCATTTAATTGCTTCAAGCTATTAAGACTTGTGACTCTCAAAAACTAAATAATACTAATTATAGGGATTATACAGTTTAAAATCCAAAATTTAAAAATAATACCTTAAAATACTAAAAAGCTAAAAAGCTAAAAAAAATTGCTGTAGATCCACAAGGACTGTTGTAATTAGGCCAAGATGATATTCTTTAAAAACCATTTATTTTATAGAAAGTTTGCTTACTAACTAATCCCCGATTATTCCACCTGCTATAGTCGGTTAAGTAGCTATTACATACGATACACATGGGGAAAACCTTTACTTTGTACAGTTTAATAGTGAATACAAACCTATCAGTTTATGGCATGTCTGTTGAGTTTTAATGGAACAATCACAGAAAAAAAGAAGATCTCTTCTCCAAAAAACAAACAAATACTAAAAAGACAAAGATGAGGGTTTTTGTTCATTAAACAAAGATATATTAAACATGTTTTTCAGTCATACATCGTGTTATATCAGCTGTGAGTTGGTCGTTAGTTGTGTTGTCTTTTCCCGTAGTGTACAAAGCAGGTTTTTATTGCTTTTTTTTTTTCTTTTATGTAACATTAAACAAACAAAACAAATAGGGGATTACTTAAACACAATGTCATTGAACTTGGCTCTAGTTTAGGGTTGGCCGCTCGACCTTAATGACTGCATTGTGGTTGTAAACGTTCTGTTTCAGAAATGGATTTGAAGGCAATTTTATTGGTCCTGTTCTCCCTGTTTGCTGTTGGTTTAACRGATATCAACATGCACAACCCAAGGTAGCCGACGTCGCTGTTCAAMAGCAGTTTTATACATCTAATTCCTTTTTTTCCATTACTTAATCAAAGTTAATACTCTTAGTACACACACTGCTCTAGCACTTTCTGTTTTACTATGAAAAGACATCTCGATTTCTTGATTTCTTTTATTATATATTTATCAAAATGTATTGATCCTTGTTTTTTTTATTATTTTATATTAAAGAGGATGCAACAATCGCCTTAATGAGCCCAAAAGAGGAAGACGAAATGCCAAGAGGTACATTTGTAGTGATGGTTAAGTATTTCAGGTGACAATAATGAATCATCTCTTGTCTGATAACAGACTGTTTGACTCTCAAAATAACAATCGTGGTGGTCATAATGTGGGGAAGCCTATGTACTATTACAGTGGATCCTATCTACCAATACAATGGTAAGAATATAATATCCCTTGGGGGTATGGATGGGGAGTTGTTGATATCCCTTGGGTGTGGTTAAGGGATTGGGGGTCGTATGTACTATTACAGTGTATCCTATCTACCATTACAATGGTAAGAATATGATATCCCTTGGGGGTATGGATGGGGAGTAGTTGATATATCTTGGGTGTGGTTAAGAGATTGGGGACGTCGTATGTACTCGAGTGGATCCCATCGACCGATACATTGGTAAGAATATATATCCCTTAGGGGCGTTTGATGGGGAATGTTTGATATCCATTGGAGTGGTAAGCAGATGATGATCTTGTATCCCTTGGGGATGGTGGTGGGGGAGTATCATTTCTGACACCCACTTAAGAAGCACTGGTATTCTGAGGATGACGGTGATCACAATACGCTGGCTACTAGTAGTGGATATGGAAGAAATCTTACCATCGTGGGGAGGGGTGAAAAGATGATTTCATACCCACATAGATGGACCCACATAGATGGACGGGTGAAAGGATCTTTAATATCATTTTTTTGTTTCAGGGCTCATCAACACACCTGTGGTGACCAGAACAACAACTGTGAAGTGGTTATCCAATACATGTGCGACAAGAAACTACGAGATGGAGCCACAACAGCGTATGTTAACCCCTCCCCTCCCCTCCTCAGTTATACATGTTATACTCTTCCCCTTCTACCATGGTATTTCAACACGTCCTTATATCTCTTT